TATCTACCATTGGCTGATGGAATCTCGAGTGCCTTGATATGAGCTAGAGATACATCTCTAACGTCCACAAGCCTAAAGCTCTTGCTCTTAAAAAGATCCTTACCCTTTGTAAGTTCCGCAACCACGGCTACAGAGATATTAAGAGTTGGCTGCAAGATTGGTCCAATTACAAGTCCTGGATTCATGACAATTAAATCCATCTCATTGGCCTTGGCAAACTTCCATGCTTCATCTTCGGCCAACGTCTTCGAGAGTGCATACCATTTCTGAAAAATAAAATTAAAGTAAAAAATAATGCGATTTCTTATGAACTTATTAATGTGATATATTTAAAGAACCTTTTTCTCTTCACAAAAACTTGGATCAGAGAACATGGTTTCATCTACTAAGCCGTTTGGTCCAGTGGGGGACGCATTAACAATAACGGCAGCGATGGATGATGTTAAGATGACCCTTTTAACATAAGACATTTTGACACAAGTCTTTAGGACGTTTAAAGTACCCTTAACTGCTGGTTCGATCAGCTCAGCCTGAAAAAAATCAAGAGTAACGGTTAACTCATGTAATTAATTATTAAACCAATTGGAATAAATCATGTTATTAATGTAATTTTATACGTCCTCTTTTATTCACTTTGGGATTACTAAACTGTAAGTCATTGATTAAGTAAAGTAGTAAGGATTGAGTGAAAACAAAGTGAGATCATTGACGAACCTGAGGATCCTCTGCAGTGAGTAAAACCGGTGAAGCGGTGTGGAAGACAGCTTCACATCCATCGATTGCATGCTCGAAAGAGCCTTCTTCTAAAAGATTTGCTTTGAATAAGCTGAGTCTTTCTTTTGCACCATCAAGTGCGAGAAGATGATCCGTTTTCTTTTGATCATCTGCAGAAAACACACATATATGTCATAGTGCACAAAGATATCTATATATATATGTGTGTGTTTGTGTGTATATTTATATATACGTATCACGTATATGATCTATCGGTATATTGTAAAAATATTTATTTTAGATAAAGGAAGAGAAACAATCTTGGGTCACGAACGGTGGCCCTAACGGTGTAGCCACGTTGAAGCAAAAGCTTAACAATCCAAGAAGCTATGTACCCGGAAGCTCCGGTGACGCAGACCACCTTTCCTTCGCCGTTCATTTTTCTTCTCTTCTAATGCAATTGTAAGGATGAGAGTGTTGGAATGTGAATTTATATTAGTTCTGGTCAAATGCATATGAAGAAACATTTTAATAGATTAGATAGTATTTACCTATATTCAAAGTCAATATCTTACATTAATTGATTTTCTAAATATACCACAAGACTACATCTTTTTGTAATCTCATATTCTGACTTGTGTCACTTTTTGATATATTCTTCTCTATATAGCTCTTAATGCTTCTGAAAATATTGACTGTTGAATGCAACAAAAAAATATATATATATATACGGGAATTAATATAATTACTATCTAATGATGGGAGTATCAGAATGTGATTTTATATTTTTTGTCAAATAGAAAATAGCTATTCAAATTTCAAATTCAATATATTACATTAATGTACTCTCTGAAAATACCAAAAGATTACCTCTTTTGGTATCTCATATTTTGACATGTGTCACTTTTGTAATCTTATGTATATAACTCTTTGACTTTTGAAGTTAAAAATAAAATAATTTATGGAAATTAATATAATTATCTTTGAATGATTTTTTGTATGTACTATAAAAAATTTATTGTTTAAGAAAATACTAACAATAATCAAATCCTATACAAAACTTTTTTTAAAATATATGTATAGCAAAGTATTCTGGTAGCTCATATTTTGACATGTGTTAGTTTTTAGTCTTCTGTAGATATAATTAATCTTATAATCTGTTTTTATAATAAATTATTCTTATAGTCTAGACTGGTGAATTAAAACAAAAAAGTTATAAGAATTAAAAAAATATTATCTAATCATTTTGTATGTAGTATATGATATTTAATAGGAAAATACAAGCAATAATCAAATACCACAACATTACCTCTTTTGCTATCTCATATTTTGACATGTGTTCCTGTATATAACTCTAGTTTATTCATTTAAAAAAAAAACTCTTGTTTATTCTTAAGTTTTTGACTTTTAAATTAAAAGATAAAAAATATTTAGGGAATTAATAGACTTATTATCCAATATTTGTTGCATATATAAAAGTTAATGTTAAGAAAATACAAAAAATAATTAAATAGTTTACAAATTTTTTTGTAGTTTTATAAACTGTATATAGCGGAAGTGCACTCGCTCAAAAGATCGCTCATCAACAAGAACGCGAAAGCTTGGACATCGCATATACGGAAAAGGCAACACCTAGACTATTTAAATATAGTAATAAGAATTTGAAAGAAATAAAATTTTCTTAAAGCATTGACCTAATATTCCTCTAAACAATCTCCGAGATTTTGCGCTGATAGAATGATTTTGCTTACAAAAATTCTAGAACTTCCATTTCTTATATATATTTGCTTGTTTTTCATCTCCGGTTGGTTGACGAAAAGATGTAGCAAACGTTCTTACATTGTACATCGGTATGATTACACATTGAGAATCACTGTTATTAGTGCCTAACAAAACAATTAAACAAGATAACTCACGCCAGCTGCAAATTTAACCAATCTGTTTCCTCAAGTATCACTCTACGATTGGGTAATTAATTGGATGGTCGTGTTAGATGCTTACGACCAAACATGGATTGTGAACTCGATGTATCGATGGTTAAATTAGTGTTGCTTACTATTTTCTCTATTAGTATTATAAAACATTCATTACATTAATCAAATATAAGGAAAAAGATAGCCTAGCTCATTCGATCAAAACTATCGCAATTAGGCATCACGAATTAAACTTACTATTTTTCTCTAGTAATATTATAAAACATTCATTTTAAAAAAACTGTAGAACATTCATTAACTTAATCAAATATAATGGAAAAGATAGCTTAGCTCATTCCACAACAACTATCGCAATTAAACTTACTACTTTCTCTATTAGTCAATAAATTATAATCAAATACAAAGCTTAGCTCATTCGACCACAACTATCGCAATTAGGCATGAATTAAACTTTTTTTTTTGTAAAATCTCTCATTTGTCAACTATTTAACTCTTAAAAATCTGGAATAAAGTCACTTTATGCACATTATTACCCACAAATTTCAACAACCATTGGGTGCGTCTACGAGTTGCTGCCTCTTACGTTTCTTTCTTCAAGTAATGCTAATTAACAATATTTTTAACTCGTCTCGCGTACTGGTCCCTTTCATTTATCTACTTTCAAGTGCTTAATGACTCATTAAGCCCACGGTTAAAACTTTCTTTGTTTTCTTCATTTTATGTTTTCCTTCTCATTTGAAAGCAAGATCAACAAGATCAATGCACATCGGCACTATTTTGTGGGGACTTATTTGCCACACATTTAAAATTTATAGCAATATTGGCAGAAATGTAATACTCCCTCCATTTTTGAATAAGTGTAACTTTAATATTTTTCACACATGACGGAAATATATGTAAGATGTTATTAATTGTAGCTTTTTGACCAATAGTATTTGAGATAAATAGAATTATTTATAAGATCAATGCAGTTTGTAATTAATTTTCAAATGAAAATAAGTATAATTTGTATTGGAATTGTAAAATGACACTTTTTATAACAAAAAAAAATGTTAAAATAACACTTATTATGAAACAGAGGGAGTAAAAAATAAGTGATTCATTTCTATTTATGTTATTTAAAACAAACAACCACAATTAATATGTGAATCAATTTATTTCTAAATTTTATCATTCGTTGATTTTGCAAATAACAGGATTTATTTGTCTAGTGCATATGTTCTTAACTATATTCAGCACAACAGTCAAGTTGTTATTTTTTAAAAAAAAAAATTAACCTATATATAAATTGACTAGAATACAATTCGAGTTATAGCAAAATCACAGAGTTAGTAAACAATTTTTTGATTATTTTAAAATAACATATCAGCCGTCGAGTAAAATTCAGCCGACGGACTGAGAGAGCGGGTGTGATGATCCACTTGCGATGGTGGGCGGTTGGGGTTACACTGTGGTCCATACTTGTTCATCTCATCAACGATAACAAATGTCTTGTAAACTTCTCAGTTTTCAACTATCTAACACTATAAATCATGTATAGGGTATAAAGTTACTTTATGCTACATTATTACCCACAAATTTCGAACACCATTGGATTATCAATTAAAATAAGCTTTTGAAAAGTAGATATGGTAAGAAGGTTCCTTGATAAGAAACATGTGGTGCGTTTACGAGTTGCTGCCTCTCACACTTTCTTCCTTGGAATATTTAAGAAAATTAAACTTTAATCGGCTCTCGTAATAGTCCCATTTATTACCTAATACTTTTCAGTGCTTAGTGACTCATCAAGCTTACGATTAGAGCTTCTCTTAAAATTCGTTTTAACATTTTCTAGTTTTCAAAACAATATCATACCCTATAGTTTCCATTCGACCCAAAATTGTACCATTTCTTTTAGGGTTGTTGTGTTAGATAATTAACTCTCTAGCTGATTGGCAAAAATATGCGCTGGTGAACTGTAAACAAGTGATACTTTTTAAACTACTGAATAACCTAAACTTTTTTTGCGTGTACAATGTCTTATTAAAGCGTGGATATTGTTAAAATACTTACAAACATTATTAAACCACTTTTGCAATTTTGTCATTTCAAATATACAGGGGGAAATTTATCTCTCTAGTGCATATTCTCTTACAATTATTCAAATGACAACAGATAAAATCGATTTCTACAACTTGATTTACAATATCATTATTGCGTGAGTGATGAAACTTTATCACCACCAATGAGATTTATATTATATTTTAAAATTAGCCTCGTGATCTTAGTAACTATCAGTGTGAGGTCACTACCCACAGTTTATTCATCTATAAAAACCTAAGTAGAGTCATAAATTCATAACTCATAACTCCGGAGCTAGAGAACACAACTACTTTCCTCTAATATGGATGGTTTTGTCTATAACCTTCCGGGCGCAAACCCTAATAACCAAGCTCCGCTGGTAAACTTGTCTGCCACGTCAGACGAGTCGAGCCGGAGTGCAGAGGATGATGAGAAGAAACAGAGAAGGAAAGCATCGAACCGCGAGTCAGCTCGAAGATCGCGTATGCGGAAAAGGCGACACATGAACGAGCTTTGGTCCATGCTTGTTAATCTCATCAACAAGAACAAATGCCTGGTCGATGAGCTAAGCCGAGCCAATGAGGGCTACGAGAATGTTGATGAAGAGAACAAGAAACTTCGAGAAGAAAATTCCAAGTTGAGGAAGATGACTGGTGAGATAGGTTTCTAATGTAGAGTGCGGTCTCTTTTTGATCGACCAATACAAAATATTTCGTAACCAAACCTATGAAATAATCAAATGCTTTCTTTACTAAAGGTGACTAATAAATATATTTGGCAAATTTCCTAAGAGCATTTCCAACTCCAAATCATATTTTATTACAAAATGAAATGGATTGAAAATGCTCTAAAACATAATAAAACAAATTTGTATGATTACAATAATTTTTAAAATGATCAAATAGATTTTATTAAAGATCAAAAAAACAATATACCTTTATGAATAATGCACTTAAATTAAACTATTTTTATAATAATGTTTTGATTTTTTTACGTTTGATTCTAAACACTAAAGTCTAACCTCCAAATTCTATACGCTAACCTCTCAAATTTAAACCTTAATTCTAAACTGATTTCTCAAGAAATATATGTAACAAATTATTTATTTAATACTATTTTTTGATAAAAAAATGTCTCTTTGGAAGAAGGTGAGCACGGCTCTGTTTATACATGCTATTTGTGCATGTGTTTTAATTGTTTTGATGTGTGCCTCTTTTTTGTCGGTGAATCTGTTAAAGTGTGATATTATTTTCACAAACCAAATTTAATATCATCAGTGTTATTATTTTCTTTATAATCCTAAAATTTGGATCTTTATATATGCTTGATTAAAGTATATCCAATTTGTTGTTCTATTTAGAGAGTAACTTAATATTAAGATTATCACGGGTGTTTAAGATTATCACCGGACGTGACAGTGTAATTGGTTTAGACGCGGACGTTATAAGTGTTATTGTGTTCCTGAATTCGATCTATCGTAAGAGCATCTCCAACCCCACTCCATATTTTACTGCAAAATGGAGTGGAGAATGGAGTAATGAAGAAACAAAAAAGTGATTACTTCAAATATGGAGTAATGAAATTTTTGTTTCTTCATTACTCCATTCTCCACTCCATTTTGCAGTAAAATATGGAGTGGGGTTGGAGATGCTCTAAGAAAAGTGTTTTACGCCATAAATGGTATTAACAAAGATTGACATTAGATCCAAAGACAATTAAAGCTCAAAGCCCGAACTTTATTGTAGATTCAAAAAAATATTTTTAATATTAAGATTGAAGTTGGTTTGGCGACCAAATAAGTTGTTTCATGGTGGACCTTAGAAGAAAAAGAGAACCAAAAGATGCATCATCTGAATTGCCACTAACTTTGTAGGTGATTGGTACTGTAAGATTTTTTAATGTAATTTTTAGCAAATATAACTGTAAGAACTAAGTAAAAAATGACAAATATGAAAAAGATATTGCTATATCAATATTTTTTCTTTACAACATACAAAACAATGTTGTAATATTCGTTGAATACTCGGATGTCAGTTATATACTCGGAGAGAACACTTTTGTATATTCGTTGAATACTCGGATGTCACACATGCTCATCTAAGTCCCATAATGCATAAAATTCATTCTTGATCCTGTGGATACGCTAGTCCTGCTATTAAGCGGGCCACAAATTGTGTGACTGACCATGCCAGCTGAATAAAGATCATATTGACATTTCTATATGGGGTTATTTGTTAAATAACCAAGAAAAGAAAAGAAAAATAGTTTTTAAGAGAGAAAAAGTAGAGAGAGATAGAAAGAAAAAAGAAAAGAAAGAGGATGATTTTAGTTAGTTAGTGGATTTTGTTTTTAGTGTTATTAAATACAATTTCCATGTCTATATTCATCCATTGTTTTTTATGGTCTCCAAAATTAAAATTTAAAGTATTATTTTATAATGGGTAATAACCACATTTTTAATATCTTCACCACCCATATAACACATTTAACATGTGGGTTTATTCTTTGTGGCAACCAATATATTAAATTTTCAGAGATGCACACTTATTTATTGTAACTCTGCAGTTATCACTGACTTTTTTATATTTTAACTTAACTTAATTAAGAAAAAATGTAAAAACATTCTGATAGGATAAATAAATCAATTATCTTATTTTTTTTTAACTTACACTACCATATACCTCATATATGAGATACTATATTTAGGCATCAATCGATATATCTAATGATAAAACAATAGCAGTTTGCTCTATAAGCAATATGCTGTAGAAATTGTATGCATTCATTAAATTTTTTAATAAAATGATTAGTAAATCAATAGCAGTATACAATTTTAAAATTATCATAAAAAATTAGTATATAATATACTTATTTTAAAACGAATATATATATATATATATGTATAATAGATATTAATAATATATATTTTATTAAAAAAATGAATCTTATTCAATTATCTAAATTATATTATATTTATATGTGAAATATTATCTAAAAAAACTAAAATTATTTTAAAAAGATAAAATTTATTTTTGCATACAAACGTAATTTTTAATATTATTAAATAAAATAAATAAGTTATCCTTATTTATTTATTGTTAGAACATTAAATGATTCATATATAAAATTATCATAAAATTAATGTATGATATAAAACTTATTTAATAGTGTCTAAATAATATATATATGTTTATATCTAGAATATATAAATATATATTATCTTATTTTTGTTATTAAAATAATGAATGATATATGCAATTATATAAAAATATATTATAATTTAAATGTGAAATGTTTTTCGTTTTAAAAAATTTAAAAATAATTAGTCGCAACTTTTAACTTTAAAAATATATTTATTTTTAAATATGAAAATAATTTTTTATATTATTAAATAAAGATAATTTAATTATATATAACTATTTTTGGTTACTTTTGATACAAATATTTGAATCTGTTTTAGATATATTAGTTATTTAGATATTTTTTTTAGATTCTTATACATCTGAATGTCTATGTCTAACTGATTTTGTAAACAAATAAAATACTATTTGTTAATCGTTTTGAATTTTTGTTACGAATGGAAAATTTTCATTTAAATATGTCGAGTTAGTAAGGTTAACATGTATGATAAATGTTATCAAATTATTATGATAAAAACAATTAATGAAGTAGATAAGAAAAGTGAAAAAGAATATAACAAAAGATAATAAAACACTTTAAAAAATATAATTTATGTTTTATATTGTTGTAATGAATATTGTCAGATTATTTAAAAGATAATAAATGAAATGCTTAGAATACATTAAAAAGGAAAATAAAAATTGTAAAAACATTTAAATTTGTAAGAGTATTATTTTGTATTTTGTTTTAATAGGAATAGATAATGTTCATGCTAATATTATGCCAAGTACTTGGTTTTCGAGGGCGTTCGGGTACTTGTTCGGGTTCGGATAAGGTATTTCAAATTTTGAGTATTTCGGTATTGGCGTTTATTACCCGTTCGAGTATTATTACATATTGGATCGGGTTCAGATATTTTTAGTTTGGATTCAGTTATTTCGGGTCGGATTTCAGGTATTTAGATTTTGAAAGAAAAAATTAAAATTCTTTATTGTTCAAGTTTCACGTATTTAAAATTTTACTATTAACTTAACTATTTTTTAGATGTTTAGTAGGTTAGACGAATAATAAGTTTGAAAATAAATTATTGAAAATAGAAAATCACTAATCTGGTTGTTATTTTTAAATTTTAAATGTAATTTTTATTAAAACATGAAATAAGAAGTTTAACATGCATTTTAAATGAGTAGTAAATCATTTTTACAATTATATATATATATATATATATATATTATATGATATTAAATTATATAAAATATTAATATAAATATTTTGAATAAAATGAGATAGCTAAACTAGGAATAAAATATGTATATATACACATATATTATGTTATCTTCGTATATTTATTCGAGTTCGGGTATTATCCATTCATATTCAGATACTCAATTTCTCCTAACTTAATATAATATCTGTTCGGATATTTTTTTTTATTTCGGTTCAGATTTCAGTTCGGATATTTCAGATTGGTTTAGATTCGAGTTCGGGTATCAGATAAAATGTCCAGTTCTTCACCCGCGAGAGTCTCCACAATGTTTGTTCTTGTGGGGCTTCGGTTAACTCCCGGTTTACGACGGTCTACTGGACAAAATCGTAAATTAACATGATTCTTAAAAAAAAAAACAAATCAATTTAGTATAAAGTTTCTGCGCCTTATCCACTGCGGATTCTCACTCATCCTCTTCACAAGCGAAGAAAAAAAAATGCCATCATCATCTCCATGCTACTCGTTCCTCCTCTCCAAACCTCCGTTTCTACCTTCGCTCATTCCTCGCTACTCTTCTAGATTCTCCTTCACACGCCGAACACAACGCTTCTCCACTTCTCTTCACGGAATCGGAAGAAACATCGAGGTTCGTTTCGTTATGAGAAACGAAAAATCAGAGATCTTATGTAATTCAAATTGATTTAGGGTTTTGATATTTGTTGTAGGTTGCTCAAGGAGCTCAATTCGATGGGTTGATTATGAGTAGAGACGATGTGGATGAGGATGATGAGGTAACGGTCGAAGTGTGTGTGACTCGTACGTTGCCTCCAGCTTTGACTCTTGAGCTTGGACTTGAGAGACTCATGGAAGCTGTTGATGAACTTAAGATGAATCCTCCTAAGTCATCTAGTGGCGTCCTGCGATTTCAAGTACTACAACATTGTTCCTTTCTTGATTTATTTATTTATTTTGTGAATGCAGAAATGTTTATTGTTTTGTTGATTTTGTCTTGAATCCGGTCCGTATTTTATTCTTTTACTGCAAAATGAAATGGGAAACGGAGTAATGAACAAATAAAAAAGTGATTAAGGTTCGATTAAGGACTTTTTTGTTTGTTCAGTATTCCATTTTGCAGTGAAATATGGAGTGGGGTTTGGGATTTGAGATGCTCTTAGAAATTGGGATACTCTTATATATGTTGTTATTGTAACTCTGGAATTTAAATTCGCCTCTGATCTCGCCTGTAGACGTAGCTGTTTTGAATTGATTTATTTATCGTGTTTATTGGCTTTTTCCATATTATTTTCTTGCATCGGTTATAAGAAGCTTTTTATGTGTATTGTATAGGTGGCTGTGCCTCCGAGGGCAAAGGCTTTGTTCTGGTTTTGCTCTCAACCTGTGTCTTCCGGTGTGTTTCCTGTGTTTTTCCTCTCCAAGGATACTGTGGAGCCTTCTTATAAGTCGCTCTATGTAAAGGAACCTCATGGGATTTTTGGGATTGGGGACGCACTCTCTTTCCTTCCTCACTCCAAGGGGCATAGCACTATAAAAACGTAGGCTTTTTCTTTTCCTTTTGGTCTTTAGTTTGTTTAGTCTCAATTGGGTTACAACACTAAATCATGATGAATACTTGGATTCTTTCGTTTGTTCTGAAGTGCTACATTTCAGTTCAATTAGTTAAGCTAACTAGCTTCTGCAGATTCCTCTCAGATGAATCAGCTATGGTGACGGCTTATGGGTTTTCAGATATTGATTTCAAAGGAAACTCTAGTGTATATAGCAAGGATGGCACTTCTTACTTCTTCGTTCCTCAGGTGAAGTTGCATCCACTTTATCATCAAGCTCTTGAGTTGCATCTCTTTTCTTGCTTTTTCGTATTTCTAGTTGGTTGATGAAATGCTTGTAGCAAGCGTTCTTACACTATACATGGTTTGATTATCGAAATTTTGGACAGATTGAGTTAGATGAGCACGAGGAGGTCTCCATATTAGCAGTTACACTGGCATGGAATGAGTCTCTATCCTACAGTTTTGAGCAAGCGATTAGTTCATATGAGAAATCAATTTTTCAGGTATGCTAATGTTCCGACTTTTTCTTGTTAGTATCGGGAATATAATTAGTTATTCATGTCCAGAGTACCATGCTATATCCTTGAGGGCGCTAAACAAGTATGCAAAACTGTTAATTAGTTGGGAAGAATAATATTTTAAGTGCAGATTGCTTTACTTGTGTAAATCAAATGGAAATCTTAAGTTATTGCTATTCGTTCTTATTCAAGATTTCTTGAGTAAGTCTTTTTCTTATGTTCCTGTTTTTCACGTTCATCTTGGTCATTTTCATGCAGCTTTCTTGTCATGTCTGCCCCAGTTTAGAGCAGCATTGGTTCAAACATCTAAAAAGTTCTCTTGCCAAGTTGACTGTGAAAGAGATTCATCCAATAGAAATGGTACATGCTTTACTTAGGTTCTTTTCCCTTTAATTTTAAGTAGCTGAACAAGATACAAGGATAAATCTGATTATTTGTTTATTTATCAAACTGTTTCATGCACAACTCTTACATTCCTGATCTTCAGAGAGCCACTTAAACATAGTTTGATATTAAAAGTTTCGCTCTCTGTTGTCCATTTGGATCTTTTTCAGGTGCCTCTCAGCAAAAATTGACGAAGTTTCTTATTATTATGTTTTACGCACTTGGATAATACTTGCACAGCTTTTTTTGTCTGAACTGAGCAAGTAAACTTAGTTTCCTTCTCATGCCACTCATTCTTATGTTTATTTTGCAGGAGCATATGGAGTTCTTAACATTTTCTGGGAGAGATCGGGATGACGCCAAGGAACTGGTATCTTCTTTACCCTGGTAATTTCCATCCCTGTAATTCAGAATCTAATTATCGTCCTTGAAGCTTGTGGGGTTGAATTTGTTCTCTTTGGTCCATATGGATTCTACACGGTTTGATTTGCCTGTTTTCTTGCAGAAAAATATACAATCTTCATGTCAATTCCACTGCAAGCTTTCACCTGACGTTGTTTTCTCAAACAACATGGTACGTAGATATACAAATATGGCCTTTTGTGTTAGATTGCTAGGCTGTTTCTTGTATTACCTGTGATATTATAAAGACTGTTCAGCATGCCTTCATGGTAATGTTAATCTCCAAAATAGAAAATCATGGCACGCATGTTGTGAGAGAGTGTACTTCCTCCTGTCTCGAAGTGAAAGAATTGACATGTACAGTAGTTCATTTTAAAGCATTCTGATTATTGCACAACGAATGTTACAGAGATGCTGAGACCGCAGTTTGGAAGGACTGTCTACTGGCTTCTAATTTTGAACCTAGTGGCTTTTTTAGTTATCGTCAACTTTAAAGAAACAAAATAGTCTTGATTCACTGGAATTTCCGAAATCTTGGATGGTGTGACCGTAAATTTCATTTCCTTTGTTTTTTTTTTGTTTTGTTTTGCAATCAGCTGAATCAGGAGGCTGAAGCGAGCAACTTCTTGAAAGATCAGGCTAATATAAATGCTGTATGGGCATCAGCTATAATTGAAGAATGCACTCGTCTTGGTTTAACGGTGAGCTGAACTTTTCAACCATCTAATAGAACTCATATTTGGATGTATTTTTCATAACACAGTGCCACAGTACTTTTGTGTAGCTCCTGGATCAAGGTCCTCCCATCTTGCAATTGCTGCTGCCAACCACCCTCTTACAACGTGTCTTGCATGCTTTGACGAACGATCACTTGCATTTCACGCCATTGGGTATGCTAAAGGATCCCTTAAACCGGCAGTCATTATAACATCATCAGGAACCGCCGTTTCAAATCTTCTTCCAGCGGTCAGAGTTGTCTTCTTTAGGCTTCACTAAATTTCTTGGTGCATGCCACATTAGTTCGCCAAATACATTTGCGTTCTCTTACAGGGTATTTGTTCTGTGATTTTTTACAAAGACAGGTGGTTGAAGCCAGTGAGGATTTCTTACCTATGCTACTACTTACTGCAGATCGTCCCCCTGAACTTCAGGGAGTTGGTGCAAATCAAGCTATAAATCAAGTAAGGTCAAGATAAGACCTTTCATCGAAACTATATACACACTTGTTGTTTCGTCTCTGCTTCCTACAATCTATTAAGTTTCTTTTTCCTGTGTATCAGATAAACCACTTTGGTTCGTTTGTCAGATTCTTCTTCAATCTTCCTCCTCCAACAGATCATATACCAGTCCGGATGGTCCTTACTACTGTAGACTCTGCTCTACATTGGGCAACAGGTTCTGCTTGTGGACCAGTACATCTGAATTGTCCGTTTAGAGAACCACTTGACGGTAGTCCAACAAATTGGTCATTCAACTGCTTAAATGGATTAGACATGTGGATGTCTAATGCTGAACCATTTACTAAATATTTTCAATTACAAAGCCTCAAGAGCAATGGTGAAACAACTGGCCAAATTACTGAGGTCTTACAAGTAATCAAAGAGGCTCAGAAGGGTCTTCTTCTTATTGGCGCAATCCATACGGAGGATGAGATTTGGGCTTCGCTTCTGTTGGCTAAAGAACTGATGTGGCCTGTTGTTGCAGATGTCTTGTCTGGTGTACGGCTGCGCAAGCTTTCTAAACCTTTTCTTGAGAAGTGGACCCCTGTTTTTATTGATCATCTTGATCATGCCCTGCTCTCAGATTCTGTTAGGAATTTGATTGAGTTTGATGTTGTCATCCAGGTAAATTTACCAATCTTTAATTGTTACTTCATGCATCTAGACTAAGTATTGAAGATAATAGATGGATGGACAAAGGTACTGTACAGCTTTTGTGGAACTTTTTTCATTCAAAATATTAGTTGGGGTTTTGAACGCCTTGAAGGAAGTTTCAATTAATGATAAGGAAGTGGGAACTAATAACTATTTGAATCATGACTAGATCAACGATCTGCCTCTCATATTTGGGTTCTCTTTTAACATATGGTGACTTCAAACCGAGATTTCATTGAGTAGCTAATCATATTGATGTGTACTGACTGAGTTTGTAATATGAAATCATGAATAGGTTGGAAGTCGGATAACAAGTAAAAGAGTTTCTCAGGTGCTAGAGAAATGCTTTCCATTTGCATACATTTTGGTTGATAAGCATCCATGCCGACATGACCCATCACACTTGGTCACTCACAGGGTCCAAAGCAATATAGTTCAGTTTGCTGATTGTGTGCTTAAATCTCGATTTCCATGGAGGAGAAGCAAACTGCATGGTCATTTACAAGCATTGGATGGCGCTGTATGTCCTCCAAACAAACCTTTTAATCAAACATGGCCACTTTCAATACATCGGAGATGCTTCCATGTAGATTCCATAAAGCTTAATTTAAACTTTCTTTTAATAGTTCATTTATTATATGCAGATTGCTCGAGAAATTTCATTTCAATTAGCTACTGAGTGCTCCCTGACCGAACCTTACGTTGCACATATGCTTTCCAAAGCACTGACTTCTAAATCTGCTCTTTTCATCGGAAATAGTATGCCAATAAGGGATGTGGATATGTATGGATGTAGTTCGGGAAATTATTCGCACGTGGTAGATATGATGTTAGGTGCAGAACTACCATGTCAGTGGATACAAGTAACTGGAAATAGAGGAGCTAGTGGTATTGATGGCTTGCTCAGCTCCGCCACCGGCTTTGCTGTAGGATGCCAGAAGAGAGTAAGATTATGTCTTTCTGCTTTCTTTTTCGATTGTGTCACATTTCTTGTGCGTGCTATAATAACTACTCAGATCAATATCAGCGAAAATATTATGGGCAGTTTTCTTCTTCCATTAGCCTTGAAATCCCTAATAGAACCGTAGTTTTGTGTGAAGTGAAAAAAAAAAACAGAAACATTCACCCATGTGTCTGTTTTACCATGTCAGAAATTAAGTTTTCTCATGAGTCAAACAAACGTGTATCAGGTTGTATGTGTGGTGGGAGACATCTCTTTCCTTCATGATACAAATGGATTGGCGATTTTTAAGCAAAGGTACACCATTTTACTCTGTTGTATTCTCTTAGTTTCACTGTTGGTTGATTTTATACACTAAATATATGCCATGGTTCTAAGCCAATTTGACGATTTAATATCTGTAATTTATCTTGCTTATTAGGATTGCGAGGAAACCAATGACAATTCTCGTGATAAACAACCGTGGAGGTGGAATCTTCCGACTTCTTCCTATAGCAAAGAAAACAGAGCCTAGCGTGTTGAATCAATATTTCTATACATCACATGACATTTCCATTGAAAACTTGTGTTTGGCACATGGGTAAGAAACATAACAACAGTTTTTACTCTGTTTTCCTTTCCCACTTTACTTCAGTGTGCTCTGGTTTTCAAAATGAGGTTTTGAAGATAAAAATGGATAAATTTTTTAGATTGGTAGATTAGATGGTCATTTAAATTTGTTCACTGTAGTCTATAGTCGAGTTGGTTATCCATGATTTATAATACCCTTAAGCGAGTAGGGTTTTCCTAAATGGTTTATAATGATTAATAACTAAGCCAACTTGTTAATATGCAGTGTGAAGTATGTACATGTTGGGACAAAAAGTGAACTTGAGGAAACTCTATTGGAACCCAGCGTGGAAGAGATGGATTGCATTGTGGAGGTTGAAAGCTCTATTGATGCTAACGCGATCGTTCATAGGTTTTTTGGGCTTTGTCTTTTTTTTTAATAAGATTTTATGTCCCCACTTTCTTGTGTGCTCTTTGATGACATTGAGTACTCGTTCGCAGTACTTTGGAGAGTTTTGCACGCCAAGCTGCAAATAATTCCTTGGGCATTATCTCGGCCAGTTCTGTTCTTCATCCAATGATCGACAATGTGCTTCTTTTCCAAGTCTATGGAATACAATATTCGCGGTACAGGTAAGAATTGTCCAAAACTATATCTGAATATTACCCTTTGCTTTTTTTATTCTAAGAAAAACTTTCTTTTCAGAGTGGGACTGTGTGACAGACCTACCATATATTCTGGTGTATCCTCCCAATTCCATCGAGAAGGGTTCATACTCTCCCTTACTTTGGAGGATGGAAGCGTTGGCTGTGGAGAGGTTGGCTATTTTATTCTATTTTTTTCTATTTTTTTCATCACTAGATATTACATTTTAAAAAATTTTGCTGGCTTCTCCCGGGTCCCACTGCCAGAGTAATAGTAGCTTGTATTAAACTTGCTTGTGCCACTGAGAATCATGTTCACCTATTGTGTTTCATGATCAGGTTGCACCTTTGGACAGTAGTAAAGAGAACTTAATGGATGTGGAGGGGCAGCTACAGTTGATTCTTCACCTTATGAAAGGAGCTAAATTCAGTCACATGCTTCCTTTGTTAAATGGCTCGTTTTCGTCCTGGATTTCGAGTGAACTTGGAATCACTGTAAGTTTCCCTAACCGTAGTTTTCTAGTAAAAAATTAGTACATTAGTACAGCTACTTTCTATCAGGAGAAAATTGCAAAGTAAATGGACAGATTCAGTTGAGCAAGATACATTGCTAGTTCTTCATTCTTTTCTCAATTATGCTAGGTGCAAAAACATCTTGATTTTCATAGTCTTCTTATTCAGAGAATAGTTCCTCGGAATAGTAATTGAAGGCTTGTCAATTTACTTATTTTTTTCAGGCATCATCAATTTTCCCAAGTGTCAGATGTGGTCTGGAAATGGCTCTACTGAATGCAATGGCAGTAAGACATGATTCTAGTTTGTTGGGAATACTTCATTGTCAGAAAGAAGAAAATGGTTCTGCTCAGCCACACTCTGTTCCAATATGTGCCCTTCTTGATTCTGAAGGTACTCCATCGGAGGTGGCATACGTTGCTAGAAAACTTGTTGAAGAAGGGTTCAGTGCTATTAAACTTAAAGTAAGCCAACGTTGTTAAACATAAAAAATTTATACACTCAGTCATTAAAAGTAAGATAGCTGGATTTGTTTTCTTAATACTGGTTCTTAGTAGTATTTCCATGCATGAATTGAGGTAGTTGACTTTTTCACTCTTTGGGTTTTCAAGCTATTGATTACTGACTGAAGGATAAACCTGCCTAAAATGACAGGTTGCTCGTCGAGTGAACTCCGTGCAAGATGCTTTAGTTCTTCAAGAAGTAAGGAGAGTCGTTGGCGATCAAATTGAACTCCGTGTAGATGCTAACTGTCGCTGGACTTTTGAAGAGGCTATAACGTTTGGTTTACTGGTGAAAAACTGCAATCTACAATATATTGAGGTCTGGTAGAGTATAAATTATTGCAATCTGATTGTGTTAGTATTACTTGAAAATTAACTTATTTTTCTTTCCTAGTATAAATTCAGTTAAGCAACTTTTGTATATCTCAGGAACCTGTCCAGAATAAAGATGATCTTATAAGGTTTTGTGAAGAAAGTGGATTACCAGTGGCACTTGATGAGACTCTTGATGATTTAAAGGAATGTCCTCTTCGTATGCTTGCCAAATATACCCACCCTGGAATAGTTGCTGTTGTAAGCCACTGGTCATTCTTTTACTACCTTCACATGAGCCTGAGATTGCTAAAACATATATTCTTTCTGACATACTTGGCTCTCTTCTTTGATTGGTTTGGAGATGGGTTCTAGTTTTAGTTTTTAGGATCAATAGTATATCAGCTCTATCATAATAAACTATGGGCTTCACCTTATTGAATTTTTTCTTGGAAATCTATTAGTGTTAACTTTGTTATATCATACTTGATATTCGTAGGTCATTAAACCAAGTGTTGTGGGAGGGTTTGAGAATGCAGCACTGATTGCTCGCTGGGCGCAGCAGCATGGAAAGATGGCTGTTATAAGTGCCGCATACGAAAGTGGCCTAGGTTTATCAGCATATATACTGTTTGCATCATATTTGGAGATAAAGAACGTCAAAACATTTGGAGAGAAAAAGCAAGGGATGACTCCTCTTGTGGCTCATGGTCTTGGAACCTACAAATGGCTTAATGAAGACGTAATGATGAATAGTCTAGGGATATCTCGTAGTCCGTACAGTGGATTTATCGAAGGATCTGTTGCTGATGCTAGCAAAAATCTAAAGGATGTTAAGATAAACAACGATGTTATTGTGAGAACCATTAAAGGAGTTCTCGTCCGGAGGTATGAACTGAGGGTGGATGTAGATGGTTTCTCACATTTTATAAAAATCCACGAGGTTGGGGAGAATGTAGAAGTAAGTTTCGTCGGTGCTTCTAATTTTGTATGTCTGAATCTAAAAAGACATAAGCATTACTGTTCTTGATTAGTTTCTTCCTAGCTTCACACTGCGGTAATGTATTTTCAGGGAAGTGTGGTTTTGTTTCTTCATGGGTTTCTTGGAACTGGTGAAGAATGGATCCCCATCATGAAGGGTATCTCAGGATCTGCAAGATGCATTTCAGTTGATATTCCTGGCCACGGAAGCTCAAGGGTACAAAGTCATGCTAGTGAGTCCCCAACTTTCTCAATGGAGATGATAGCGGAAGCACTGTATAAGTTGCTTGAGCAAATGACTCCTGGGAAAGTTACCGTAGTTGGATATTCCATGGGAGCAAGAATAGCACTCTACATGGCTTTGAGGTTTAGCAACAAGGTGAGCTTCCTTTGTCTGAAAATTCAACATTGCTATAATAATGTGTATAAATGTAATTTGGGTGATGTTGTAATAGATCGAAGGAGCTGTTGTGGTATCTGGGAGCCCTGGGCTCAAGGATCCAGTGGCAAGGAAAGTTCGAAGTGCAACAGATGATTCTAAAGCACGAATGATGGTTGACTATGGACTCGATATCTTTGTGGAGAATTGGTACAATGGAGGCTTGTGGAAAAGGTGACTTTTTGGTAATTTGATGATTTTTGTCATCTAGACTTGAATTCGTTACTCATATGAATTGACTTTTTGCAATGAGCAGTTTGAGAAGACATCCCCATTTTAGAAAAATAGTTGCAAGCCGCTTGATACATGATGATGTCCTCAGTGTTGCAAAGCTCCTCTCAGATCTAAGCACTGGAAGACAGCCGTAAGTTCATCTTTTGGAACTTCTTTTATACAAAGGTGATGATGATGATGATTATGTTATGTCATTTAGGTCATTGTGGGAAGAGTTGGTGGATTGTGATACAAATGTCTCGCTTGTCTTCGGAGAGAAAGATGTAAAATTCAAGAAAATTGCTACTAAGATGTACATTGAGATGAGTAAAAGCAAGAAGAGCGAAAACTATATCATTGAGACGGTTGAAATCCCAGAGGCTGGTCATGCTGTTCATCTCGAGAGCCCTCTAGGCTTGATCCTCGCTCTTAGAAAATTCTTAACAAGAGTGCGCAAAAACTCTGCAGAGACAGAGCTTTCTCAGAAGCTCTTGTTAGCACTGAAAGAAACGTAAGCAAGCTTCTGAAATCTGAGAAATGCTTAATAGATTTTGGAACATGAAGACATTGTTTTGATCGTGTGATTGAACCTGTTTCAGGCATTTAGAACTCAAACTGAATCAAATTCCAATTGTACCGAGTGTGGTGCAACGATATGTTTTCAAGGAAGTATCTTAAATTGATATAAATAATCTTTATAATATTTGGTTTGAATTGTCTATTGCTCCTCTGTATAATAAAGTAGAAATTGTGATGGTTTGGAATCTCTTAACACTGACAGGACATGATCCAAAAACATACACACAGAGAGAAACAGGTTTCTCTACCAGACTTGCAGGCCTTATGACAGAACTTTTTGCAGTCATTCTTTCCTTCCTATGGGACATACTTTAATACAAAACCAAACCAAAAAAAATTAAATAACAAAGAAGAAGCTTACAAAAGGCTATGGATGTAAGGGAGAGAAGAAGAAGACAAGCTTGAGAGACGTGTTCTCCATTGCTAATTTGCAACTCTCATTAATCTGTCTTCTCTTAATCATCCAAAAAGATTTTCAAATTGAAGATTATTTTTAATACCAAGTGCCAAAGCAAAGAATGAAAAAAAATAGCACAAAAGCTACGGCCAAAGCTGGCATGCGTCTCGAGTTGCTTGGTCTTCTCATCTCAGTGTTCATGTTAACGACATAGAATGGTTCTCTGGTTCTTCTCTTGTTTATCTCATCCTCATGTTATAAAGAAAGAAAATATCACTAAGCTTAGAAGACGTGCAAGTATTTACAAAACTTCACGTGAAGATGATTTAATGATTAGCAACATCTAATGTAATCAGAGGTCGTTAACTTGAAAGGACCTTGACCACTATATCAGTGGTCCCCGGTTTTAGTGTAAGATCTTGTTTACCTCCCGAAAGGAGGCATCAAAACAGTATTTGAGCTATCCATGGGCTGCACCTCCCACTCGAGATTAGGTCTGTGTCTTTAATAGACCCGGATTTAATCATTTATCCTTAAAAGAAAACAGTATTTGAGGCACACGAATACACATAGGAACAGTTTGTCAATCACTTGTACACCAATAAAAAACAATCTCTTGTTCTTATATATATGTCTTAAAGTTAGATATTATGGTGGTTTCAAATCTCTTAACGCTCACAGAAACAAGTTCCAAAGTTGCAGTTTACAATCTTGAATCCCTTTGGACAATACTCGATGCATTCGTTGTCTCGACGGCAAGACACATCAGTCTCGTAACTGTCCATCATAGGTGCTTCACAGTTCTTCTTTCCATCAGAACCTTTTCCACAGAGGCAATTCACTTCTTCATTCACCATCTCTCTTGCATCAACCAAAAAACCTTTATCACAAACACACCACAAACTTTAAAACAAGATCAAATAAAAAAAAAAAATACTATGTAGCATAATCATAGAAGAAGCATACAAAATGCTATGATTGAGATGGTGAAGAGGAAGACAAACTTGAGAGACATTTTCTCCATGCTAATTTGTAACCTCTAAAACTTTTCTTGTTTTAATTTCTTTTGATTTTGCAAGTGAGAATACATTGTCTTCTTTTGTAGAAGAACATTAAAACGCAATAAATATTTTGTTTGAGAGTTTAACAAACTTTTAAGACAAAGCCAAACCAAAAAAAATATATATATAAAACAAAGAATAAGCTTACAAAGGACTATGATTGTGAGGCAAAACAAGAAGACAAGCTTGATAGACGTTTTCTCCATTACTAACTGTAATCTCAGAATCCTTTTCTTGTTTATTTTTTCTTTTACAAGTGGTGATGAAGAGAAAAATCTGATTGTCTTCTTTAGTAGAAGGGAATTAAAAAGGAAACAGATCTTTCTGTGTGAAGGTCATACCAATTACCAAGTTCAGTCAAATTCTACTTGACTACGCAATATTTTTGTTCCTACTTGAGATCGATCATTTTAAGAAACCACTTTATAAATAAATACAAGAGAAGGAGTTTTACCAACAAAATGTGAGTACCAACCAGTCACTTTCACTCTGAAGCACACTAGTACAAATTATAAGATTTAGTACTCAATTATTTCAAATTCCAATTGTATTGAATACTAACTGAAGAGATATGTTTTCAAGAAGAACAATAAATTGACTACAACATTGTTTTATCTATACTTGAATATCTCTTGTTCCTCTCAGTTTTAACAGTAGAACTTATTGTGGTTTTCATTCTCTTAGCACTCACAGAAACATGTTCCAAAATTACAGTTAACAATCATGCAGCCTTTAGGACAGTACTTGATGCATTCATTGTCTCTACGGCAAGATGCATTAGCCTCATAAGAGTCCATTATAGGTTCTACTGGCGGCATGCAGTTCACTTCTTCCTTCACCATCTCTCTTGCATCACCTAGAGACGAACCTTCACAAACACACACCAAACTATTCAATAATCAAAATACATAACCAAAGCAAAAAAAAATTACATTACAAAGAGAGTTGATCATAGTCTTATAGAAAAAGAAGCATACAAAAGAAAATGATTGTGAGGGAGAACAGGAAGACAAGCTTGAGAGACGTTTTCTCCATTACTAATTGTAATCTCAAAATCTTTTTCTTGTTTATGTTGTTGATTGTGTAAGTGATGAGGAGAGAAGTCATACTATCTTCTTATATAGAAGAAAGTTAGACAGCAACAAATATTTTGTTATAAAGTTTTACCAAACTGAGTCAGATATTTTTTTATTAAACATATTATACAAGAATCGAGCATTTACAAAAAAATATACAAATGGCTAATGATATTTGCTAAAAGAGAAACAAATTTTTCAAATTGATTTGTTTTTTCTAGTAACAAACGCCAAAGCAAAGAATGAAAGAAAACACAAAAACTAAGGCCAAAACTAGTATGCCTCTTCTGATCTCAGTGTTCATGCTACTCTTTTCAGACGCAAAGTGGTCCTCTGGTTCAACATCAGTTTCTAGTTCTTCCCTTGTTCTCTCATCCTCCTGTTTAAAGAGAGCAGAAAACAAATAACATTAGTACAAGAGAGACAATGATCTATGTTCATTGTTCTGAAGTAACAAAGCTTTTAGTTGCGTGTTTTTATATTGAATACCTGCCTGCAGACTTTCAGAAAATGCCTCTATTTTGCCAACATCTTTGTCCCCAGCGTAAGTTCCATTTCTTTGGTATTTACTTCCCATTGAGCATTGATTCACTCTCAGTTTTTCATTTTCCTTAGCCAAAGAATATAACTGCAAAAACACATTACTGGTTGGCTCTTGTGTCACCTTTCCTTGTACAAAGAAAAATAATTAAGCACATAGCAGAAAGTACCTGTTCTTGTATACGTTCTCTTTCACTGGATAATTGCATCACCATATCCATCAAAAGCTTATTCCTCACAGTTATCTCTTGTGCATTTTTCTCTTTTTCATCGTTAGCTAGCTCCAATGATGCTTCCAAGGATTTGACTCTTTGCCTCAAAAGAGTCACTTCTTTGTTTAGTACAGAGTTAGTTGTAGAAACCACAACGCATTGCTCCTCAACTGTCTCACTTCTACTCTCAGCTTTTGAGGTTTTATCTTTGAGATCTTCTATCAAAGTCTCCATATCCCATATCGCTGAATACAACATGTTCTGCTGTTCTTGACTTGCTTCTGATGATACCTTGGAGCTTTGTAATTGAAATTCTAACTCCCTAACTTGCTTCTCGAGTGAACTCACCTTCTTTGTCTTTTTCTCATCAGCATCTTTCAGAAAATTTAGCTCCTCAGTAAGTTCAAGATTTGCAGCATTTAACTCATTAATCTTAGCTTCACCACTCTCAGCTCTGCTCTCAGCCTCGAAAAGGTCTTCTTTGATGGACTCATTAGCATTCTCCATATCAGAAAGATGTAAGAGAGCTTCTTCTTTAGAGGCATTGACACTTCTCAGCTCAATCTCGGCTTTTTCAAGCTTCTCTTCAGCTGACTTCACTTGTTCTCTCAGAGTAAGTACATCTGAAACCATTTCTTGATTTTCTTGAATTGTTCCCTCAAGCTTTTGCACCATAAGATCTTTCCCTTGGAGCTGTACAATGAGATCTTCAAGCTTAGCCTTAAGTTCTGACTCTCTTTGTGCTGAACCATTCTGACTCAACTGAAAAATCTGAAGACGGTTAACAAGCTCCTTTGAGATACCCATAAGCACCTCTGAAGAGTTCTCTGCTTCTAGAAACTGTCCCCATATATACTCTGCTGCTTCTTCCATCCTAGAAGATACCTCCTCTGTGTAGTGTAGCTTGAGTTTCAGCTCTTCTTCGTTTTGCTGAAACTCCATTAACTTCTTCTCCAGCTCCAACTCTCTTGAAAGTGACTTCTCAAGCATCCTCAAAGCATTTTTATGCCTTAAATCAGATGGTCTCAACGCATATCTCTGCCTTAAATCTTGACCATCTGCCAAACATGTTTGTATTCAAATCCACAAAAACACTTTAAACACAACCATATATGATCAATACTTACTTGTACCAGTTCTTATGTAATGAAGTGTTCTTCTAAGCTGAGATAATTGCAGAGTGATCTCTGAGACTTGTCCTCTAGACTGCTTCAAGGATTCTGCAGATTCACTCAACTTTCCTTCCATGAAGATATAGTTTGTGTGTTTACAAGTAGATAACTTATAAGAAGTGTCAACTATTTGAACTTCTATCTCATCTAAAACCTCTTCCACTTCCTTTAACTCAGACTCCAATATACCACATAACAGATCAAACGTTAAAGCTTTCTCAAAGGATGCTGCAGAGGAATCAAGTGTCTCTACTCCTTCAAGATCATTATCACAAGCCAAAAGGTGCATAAGAAGAACATGCAAGTTGAGTAGCTTTTCATTAGTATAAGCTGAGTCCATCTCTAGTTTTGTCAACATCCCTTCTATTTCTTCACCATGATTATACACATCTTCTTGAGCGGTTTCCTCCATTCTTGGCCTAAAAAAAAAATTGAAAACTTAGCTACGAACAAGGAAACATTATTATCCAATAATCAAAGAGATTTCATTATGAGTGTTGTGACTATGAACTTGTAGAGATAAATGCATGCACTATCTTTTCAAAGACAAATTATACAACAAGTCTTTCTATATGAAACACTAAAAAAATGTCCCTAGAAACACAATAATAATATGTTAACTCAAATCAAAATGTCTACTTTGGACAACAAAAAACAATATGCAAAGAGAACTCAAACTTGACAAGTAAGATTCCTTAGATTTACATTCACTTGTCAGACAAGTGTTATGTGACTACACAATTCTGGTAAGAATCAGCATTTAAGGAAAGATCCATACTACCAAATAAAATTTTAAAACGTTACCAGAAGTTAAATAGGATCTAGAAAAAGAAATATCCTTACCGATGAGTTTTGTCGAAATAAACAGAGAGCTTTGTCTCGTCAACGAACTCGAATTCTGGTAATGCTAAAATGCGCAGGGTTGTTTACAAGTCAGCTAACGCTAAAAGTCATATCAAGAAAGAAAGAAAGCGCGCGCATGATAGTTTTGTAGACTTGGGATCGGTCTCCTGCGCACGTTAGCCGAGGTTTTTTTTTGTGGTGGACGTTGAATAAATTATTGGAGGAGCTAAAGAGCTATTTATAGATCAATCAGTTGCTACAAAAAAAAAAAAAAAAAAAAAAAAA